GGGGCATTGTCATTCATGGTTTAAAGAAACAATACTGGAAATCAATTTGTATGCATATGTTTAATGTGTGGAGAAGGACCATCTAGCTAGTTTTTCACCATTCAAATCACCTAATTTCGTACCTAATTTACTTTGCTTTGCAATCTGTTCAGTTTAGTTAATTTCGTCCAAAACAATTCCGCCTTCAATTAAGTGTGTTAGATTAGTTAGAAACGTGTTCAAATCTGTCCAATTTAGTGTTTTGAATCTTACTAGTCTTAAATTCATCCAAATAACTCCCTAGAGTTTGTTTTGAGTCTAATTGCTAATATTGTGTTGTTTTAAGTCAGTTTGTTCTATTTTGAGTCATAAGCGTCTAGTTTAGTGTTTTAGAGTTTAATTTGTGTAGATTATCAGCCCTTCTAATCCCCCGCCTAAAACGATCCCTACTTTCATATACTACAATCATAGGGTTTTAATTTGAGTGTTAGAATATTTCACATCATTAAGATATGCAACATTCCTCTCCCTATGATGCCTCAAGATGATGTGTTTTGTTGGGGCCCTAATGCAAATGGTAAGTTTTCGTTTAAGTCGGTAGCGTGGATCCAAAATGGAAATTTTAATAATAATAATGTTAGTGGGCTTCTTAAGAAATATGGAAGCTTAAGATCCCTCATAAAGTTAAGATGTTTAGTTGGTTTCTTATTTTAGGAAGATTGCATACAAGAGATAAATTATCCAGGTTTGTCAACAATATTCCTTCCACTTGCCCTATGTGCAATGATGAGGAAGAGAATAGAGCCCATTTATTCTTGAACTGTAACTTTGCAAGATTAATCTGGAATGGTCAAGTTATTCCTAACTCTATAAGGTTAAATCAAAATCTCCATTTTATTGATTGGCATAATGATCTTGAGGCTAAGATTGATGTAGGTATGTGTGATCTTAGTAAAGCTTTACTCATTTGTTGGCAAATCTGGAAGAAACGAAACCAAGTGATATTTCAGAATAAAGTGCCAAACCATTCCTGGATTGTTAAGGCTGCGGTTAATCTTAGAAAAGAGTTTCTTGAAGCTAATAATTTAAGCCCTGTAAGTCAAAATGGTAACACATCTCCCTATTGTTCTAATATTCGATGGCGACCTCCTAATGAAGGTTTTGTTAAGCTCAACTTTGATGGCTCTGTGATGGGCCAAGGTGCAGCTTTTGGTTTTGTGATTAGGAATGAGGCGGGGGATCCTATTGCTACAACGGCTAGATTTACTAGCAAAAACACGATTTCTGTTGCGGAATGCCTTACTCTGCGAGATGGCCTTTGGTTGGCTAAGGCCGAAGGTGTGTCTTGTATCATGGTGAAAGGTGATTCAAAATTGGTGATTGAGGCTATTAAGGATAACCATAACCTTTCTTGGAGACTAAACACCATTCTTGAAGATATTCGTTAGCTGGCTAAATCGTTCTTGGAGACTAGCTGGAATCATGTCTTTAGGGAAGTGAATTTTCTGGTTGATAGAGTTGGGTTTCAGCTAATTTTCATATTTGGGATAAGTCTTTTCCTATGGAAGCCTCCCAGGCTTTTCTGTTTGATTGTACACTGGTTACCCTATGGGCTTTTCTCTTTAATTTAATTCCTTTTTCTATAAAAAAAAAAAAAAAAAGTTCAACCCCTTTATTATACTATGACTCGATCTGTTCTTGATAGGCGACAAGTTGGACTTAGGCACATTCCTTGTGCTTTTCCGCAAAGTAGTTTGGATTTGAGGATTCCAGCATTTTCCAATTTAGTATGTTCTTTAGTATACAAGTTTGGCATTGTTATGACCTAGACCAAGATGATGGCTTTAGTTCCGTAAGGCATGGAAAATGGAGTTTCTCCAGTTGATTCCCACTCGGTAATGTGATATGTCCATAGAACTCAAGACAATTCCTCTGTCTACTTACCCTTCTTTTGCTTAAGTCTTTTCTCCAAGCATTGGATGATCGTTTTGTCTGAAGCTTCCACTTGGCCATTACTCCAAGAGTATCGCGTAGTGGAACTAAGATGGAGGATTTTGAGTTCTTTGTACCAGTCTGTGACTTTGCAAATTGTTGGAGAATGGTGTGTGAAATGTTGAATCAGTAGTTGAAATTTTTCCGAACAAAAGATTTGACCACTGCACTAGTACCGAGACAAAGGCTTTGCTTCGAATCATTTAGAGAAGTAATCTATTGTTACTATAAGGTATACTTTGTTTCCTTAGCCTTATTGAGTTTTTCTGCATGTTGATGATTCATTGGTGCATAAGATGAAAAACTACCAGGTTGTTGTAGCGTTACGCCTGAATCGCCAGTTTCAAAATTCTGAGAGATCGAGCCGAAGCGCTATTAAAGGTATGTAAAGTAGTCTTACTCTTTTTATCTTCCCAGTTGTTTCTTTAATGACGAAGCTAACTCTAGATCTGTTATCTATTAGCACTCGGTTGACCATTGCGTTTGAGATCTGAATGCACATCTTCCAAATCTTGATCGAAGAACATCAAGATGTTGGACTCAATCGGAAAAAGTTTGTTGATGGAAGCTAGCATCCTCGGTTTTTTGCATGCGGTCTTTCTCTCATTTCTGGTATTGTCAAATGTTTTTGCTTTTCGTAGATGCAGTTGACATTTAGTGTTCGTTTCTTCACCGACCTTTGGTTATCATACTATTTCAGATCATGTCTAGGCTTTTTACGAGAAGTTTTGGAAGTCCGGCCATGTCGTTTCTCATAGGTTTGGGGTCAGCAATTTTCGTTTGGGTCAACATGAGTTTTGTCACAGCTGGTTGTTCTTCTGGAATTGTGGTATTCAGGTCCTCAAATATGAAAACAGCATCTTTTAGAGCTTCCACGCAAAGTTTGTTGACAAGTTTTGATCAATTCTCCACCCGAAAAGCCATCGAGATCTCACAAAGTTTGTTGACAGAGGTATTGATCCTCATCAAGCTTCAAAAATCTAGTGCATGATAGGGGTAACTTCATTGTCAAGGCCTTGTTGTCTCCTAGTGTGACAAAAGTGTACGGATCTTGATTGCTTCCTCAATAGGAATTGGTACCTGCATTCACTAAACTATATAAACTATTTGAACTAGACATGATGTGGTAGAGTGATTAGGACGGGGAAATATGAGGTACTAGCATTCATTGAACTATCTAAAGTACCAATTCTTGGAATCAAATTCACATACCACCGCAAACAGAGGAGTTACACAAATCCGACTACTTGTAAAAGAACAAACAACAAAGATAAAATTTGCGTACACGTGAGGTACTGGCCAAAGAATCTCCGACAGTTAAGTTAGTAAGCAATATAAGACTCAAATAGTAGGCAAGAGAATAGAGTATGTGATAATTGCATTACCATAGATGAACCTTAGATAAGTGTATTTATACTAGTCGAGATAGAGGCCTTTTAGGATATGAAATCCGTATTAAACTAGGAGAATCCAAGAGGATATTTAAGATTAGATATTGTGTTCTCTTTAGAGTATGATTACTGGCGGCACATGCCAATCTCTAAATTATAAGAATCTCCAAGAATATTGGAAACTAGTATGATCCCCAATCAAATCAAGTTGCCTACTTTTTTGGAGCTTAGCTGGATGTGGTGGCATCACTGGCTTGTTTGATCAACTCAATCTAATTGGAGTTGTTGAGTTCATGACTAGACTTCTGAGGTATTGTATTCTGATCCGTCTTACTCCGGCCTAGAATATCATGTTCCCCCATATTTCATTGATTATGTTAAAAAAAAAAAAAAGACAAAAATTGGCAATGATACATGGCTAATTAGTAAAGATTATATTGACCTTTGACTAAATCATCTTACTAATTATCTATATGATTTTGTTATGATTCAATCTAAATCATTTCAAGTAAGAAAAATAGTAAATCTATGATGCTAGGGATACTAGATACTACAGACCTTTTAACTGTTGATCCTTAATTTATTATTTATTTTTAAATAAAGATCTAGCGGTTAAAATTCCTAGAATATGGCATACTTCAGGGAACCATAGAAAATCCGTATCACCAAATCTCTCTATCTAGGTAGCTCAGCCTAGGCCTAAATCAATATAAGTAGGCGGGTACATGCATTGTTTCAGTTTACCTATTTGATTGTAAGTAGTGTAAATCCAACATTATGGGACGTTACACATACTTATAATGAGTTAGGATACTACTCATGCTGTGGTGGAACCTCAACTTCCTTTATAGCATCAAAGTAGGTTAACTAACGTGTTGAGCCCAACGACCCATGTGCTACCACATCATCAAGTATGTGTTATGCTTAAATGACCTCAAGCGTGATGAGACGCATTGAGAGTGGTGAATCTCACATCGAGAAATCAAGGAATCTTATATGTGCTTATAAGGAGCTTGGTTTCTACACATATTCGACACGTATGATGCCTTTTTGTTTTTTGTTTTATTTTTTATTTTTTTTCACTTATGTGTTAGTGATGAAGAAGAGTGGATGATGGACAATAGGAAAGTTGCTGAAAATATGTACAAGTACACACATGAAAACTAAAAACCAAAATTTATTTTAAGATGTTTTCACTTTCAAGATTTTGTTTTGATTGATTCCTCCTTATTCTTCCCTTGTATCCCATCATCCTTCTTCATCCCTCATTTCTCAAATATACATTCTTCATATCTCAATCCAAAAAAAAAAAAAAAAAAAAAAAAAAAAAAAAAAAAAGCCTAACATACTGGTTATCAAACATGTACCACCAAAATTTCATCAGCATTCCTTCGTATGCAAATGTTCACTTGCGATTTCATTAATTTGAAGTAAATAATAATGCTTTTGGATTTGCCAATAACAGTTTTGAAACAAAAAATCGAAGTAAATAGGCGTACCCATGAATTAATCCGGGCTTGTTATTTGATCCAGCCCAACCCAAAATTACTTCAGTCAAATTGGGCCAGCCTCCAAATCCAGGCCCTGTACTCTATTCTGCCCGCTCAAAATTTACAGGAATTTACAGTTCCTCCCCAAAACTTGACGCGTAGTTACAATTCCGCCCACTCTCTTACTCTCCGCGAGGTCTGTTGTTTCACCGATGCCCGTATCGAGCAGAAGAAAGTGCGGTCCAAAGCGCCTATAGAGCGCCCTTCGTCGTATTGTCTTCCTCCAGAGGCACAGCCAGGTTCGCCTTCTTCTTCTTTCTTCCTTTCGTGGATCAATCTTTCGTCGATTTAGGGTTTTTTGTCGCTTCACAGTTTGTTCTGGGATCGTTCGTTTAGGGTTTTGCATATTTGGCCTGCAAGCTGTTTGATTAAATGCCTCAAAGAAGTATCTGACGAATCAGTTGGGTTTTTTTGCTCCTTTTTGGTCTGTTGAAATTTCTGTGGGTTTAGTTTTTAATTGCTTTTCGTAAAATGTGTGTAATGTTGTGGCAATTTTTGACATGAATTTGATGCTGTGGAGATTTTGGGTCGATACGTATATACTAGGGCTGTCTGTTGTTTGCGCTGCAATTGTTTGTAAAATTTTCGGGGTTGAAATATAGTTGCTTTTAGGGCCCTTGAGGCTTACGGAAATTGTGGTCTCTGATTTCACTTCTCGACTAGTATTAAGCATTACTGGGTGGCCATATTGATGTTTGTGGTTATACAAATCATAATTCTCATAGGAAACAGGTGAATGTAGACGACTAGTTTTCTTATTCGGGAAATGCAGGGACTGGCTTACCCATATTAATGCGACTTGAATTCAGTTGAACAAAAGTGATATGGTCCACCTTATCTTTACCCGTGTTTTGCTTCCTGAGTTTGAAACCAGTTACAGTTTAGGGAGTTTGAAACCTATTGGTTACCCATTATGAATTAATAAGTGCCCAAAAAGATTGGGATAGAAAGTTTTAACTGTCAAGATTTGTTCTCTATTGTATTTTAGTCTTCCATACTTGCATGTTAGTACTCTTCAAGTATAATTATTTCGTTTGTCATAGATATATTTGCTCAAGCTATACTGTTTTTGTTTGTAATATTACGCTTGGAAATTTGAAAAGGAGGAAAAAAGTTAACAAGATGTCAAATAGTTTGTTCTGTTTGAGTTGTGTGTATTTTGTCTTTTGTTGTCTCACTTGCACTTGTATATAAACTTAAGTTGATGTCATTACATGCCGTGGATAAGATATGTTATTGTGGTGATAGGTTTCTTTTTCATTTGTAACTTTTTGTTGATTAAACCCCCCAAATGAGTCTAATGTTATCAGAACTTGAGGTTGAATATCTTCTATATGTAAATAAGATATCTTTATAAAAGAGTCTTTTCAAACTTTAGGAGGACATTGGAGTACGTAATCTCTATATCGGCAATAAACAGTTGAAGTAAACCTTGTCTGCTGGAAAGTGTATGAACTAAGACGCCACGACTTAGGATTGCTTAGAGATTTCAGAGATGGGATTTCTTCAAAATCCACGGAAATCCATTGTATGTATCATGTCATAATACATCTGTCTGGCCAATGAAGCTATAACCATTAAAATTCGGCAACTGATTTCTTGTTTTACTTTGTTGAATTCGCTTTATTCTCTTGAATTTGATCTTGGATTTTAAATTTCAATATTTGTTATGCGTGCAGCATAATTTGTGCAGGTTTAGAGATACCTTGAATTGCAATGGTATAGTTACATTTGAACTTTAATAAGTTTGTCATTTTTTCTCTGGTGTTTTATAATAATGTGTGTGCACAACTGGCTGTTGAATTTCATCCAAGCATGGGGCTGAGGGTCCTCAATTACTAGTATCCTACTGCCATTGTCCTTAGCATTTGTGAGGTGAAGGGAATTACATAGCTATAAAATGTACGATTTGTGTATCTTTCAAACAACTTAAAGTTTTCGACCAATGAAATCACTCAGCTGGCTGACCAACCCAGATATATATAAGATTTGAAAAAAAATATAGGGTTAGTGTTTCACATTTGAAATTTCAAGTATGCAGGAGTTGTGTTCGATTCTAATATCCTTATCCGAGGGTTAGTGTTTCACATTTGAAATTCCAAGTATGCGGGAGTTGTGTTGGATTCTAATATCCTTATCCGACCCTATTGGTCAAAATCTCTTGCTATCTTCACACATGAATGTGGGCCCAAGGCCAGAATATGTACATTTCTGCTAGTTCTTAATTTAAATTGTTGTTTTCCTTTTCAATTTCTGACAGAACTCATCTTCATCTCTCAAATTCTAGAGTTTGTTGCAGCAATGTTTCACAGTTATTGGCTCTCTTTCGATAGTCATTTTATTTAGGTTCTAATTGGGCACAATTGCATAAATATTTCCAGCCTTCCAGGAATCCTATCAGGGAACTGTCCCACCATGGATAATTTTAGTATTCAGATTAGCTCCAATCTGGTTAATAAGCTTGTTGAGGATGCTGAGAAGTCAAAGAGGAAACCTAGAAGAACTAAAAAGGCAACACGAGAGCGTCCACAGCCCCAAGCGAAGATAACTCAGAAGCAGGGTTCTGATGACTCTGAAACACTCAAGGGGCCAGGTGCTAAAGGATGGCCTTTTCAGTCTCCTCTATTCGTGCCTGTAACGCCTCCTTCACAGTCACCCTATGAGGAGCTTGATGCCATCAGATCTGTTCTGCAAGAGAGCGAGAGGGTTGTGGAGCAGTTGCAGAAGCAGGAGGAGAACATGCTGCAGGAAGTGACACAAAAAGCCAAGGAACTTCGTGATAAGGAGTTCAAGCTTCCATTCCAGAAGCCTATGCCCTGCTCAAATGAAAAAGATGCTTGCTTGTCTTGCTACAAGGAGCATGCCGACAACCCTCTGAAATGTGCCGGTGTTGTTACAAGTTTTGAAAATTGCGCTCGCAGAATTAGGCAGCAAGTGGGTTCAGCAGAGAAGTAATTAAGTATAGAGATTTTCAGGTCATATACTCGATTGCAAGCCGATTTCCAAGATTTTGGTATTACAAAATAAACCAAACACTAATTAGTGCCATGTTCTTGTACTGTCATCACATTTCTGTTGATTCTTCAACTTTACATATGCCGAAACTGCTGCTAATTCACGAGAACAAGTGAAATGTCCACGATTTTAGACATGTCTATCACAAATTTACAAGTTTTTGTATTCAAATCAAGCATTCTTCCCCGCGTTAAGATCGTGTGAAAGGTATACTGGATCTTGATACTGAGCATGGATAGCTCATCAATTGTGTATGGTAACATCTACCGATTCAGCCGTTTATAGGACGTATGCTGTCCAATTTTATCCGAGTAGGATGAAATCCACTCTTCCTTATTCAGAGCCACTCAATCATCATTCTAAAAACCCATTTGGTGTTGGTTGCCTGCTCAATCTTAGTGCCCTCTCGTGCTTTCTTCCACTCTTTTATAATTAGCCAATTTCCCCATTAAACTTTAACATCAACTAATTACCCCATGAACTTTCATAAATAGCCAGTTCCCCCCTTCACCGTAGATTTTAAAAACTTTCATCCCATTTTTCATCTATTTTGATCACACGGACAATACATGACAACTATATGGGGACAAAAAGAATGGAAAATTCGATTGATGAAATTTTTTAAAATCAATGGAAAATGCTAGGGTGGAAATTGTTATTTATAAAATTTTATGAGGGCTAACCGGCTAAAGTTAAAGTTCAGAGGAAAAATTGGCTATTTATAAAAGTTCAGAAGGGTAATCGTCTAAAATTAAAGTTCAAGATGGAAGTTGACAGCTCTATACAAGTTCGTAGGAAAAACCACGAAATACATCTTCAAAAGAATTGAAAAAAAAAAAAGAAAAAAAAAGAAAGAAAAAAATAGCAAAGAAATAGAAAGGTAGAAATGTTTTCACAGTTCAAACTTCAGAGTACAACTGTGAGAAAATGAAGGACACGAGCAAATCATGTGCAACGGTGTTAGTTCTATGCCTTTTCCTCGGTCAAGGGCCAAGCGAAGACCACTGATTTATCGCCGTGGTTTTTCATTTCCTCGGCACTCTTCCTGCATCCTTCCCTCCAAAATCGCCGATCCCAGTTTGCAGGTTCCGACCGCTCCGGTCTTCTCGCTTTCAGACCATATTATACAACCAGGTGCCCTCTCTCTCCTCTCTCTCTTCTCTCTCTCTCTAAGTCTAAATTCCGATTAACAAGATGAACTAATATAACTTAGTTGCTTAAGCTCAATAAAAATAAATAAATGTTTATTTAGATACTGAACTTTTGAATACTTATTTACAAGTTAGGTTGCTGTTTTGGATTAACATATTGGTCGGTTGGAACGAATGATTTTGTGAGTTACTGGGAAAATTAACGTATAGAGGAAGATATAGCTGAAAGAAAAAGACATGAATCCACTGCGGCCCAGACCCCTGGCGGTTAGGGTCTTCTGTTCAATGTACTGCGTCCCTTGTTCAAAGCCTCCTTAATGTATATTAGTGTAGAATATCGCTTGTAATAAACAAAAGACATGAACCCAATTTGATGTTAACTACATTGACATGTTTGGGAATTGAGGAGAAAATCAAGAAGAAACGATGAACAGAAGGATGAACACAGAGATCTTAGAAAGAGGCAGTTTAGAGAGAGAAATATGATTTGTATTAACTGAGAGAATGAAGATTACACACTTTGTTTTTTTACTAGTAAGCCTAACAACTCTAACCAAATACTAACAAACTTGCTAACTATAATTCTAACCATATTGCTGACTTGTACCCTTAATACTCCCCCTCAATCTCAACCGGGGAAACCCAGTTTGAGATTGGAAGAACATCTGCGATCACTGCTATGAAACCAGAAAACAGAACAGAGAGTTGAACCATCTGCAATCTTGCAAGTTTGAGATAGCCATATGGAACTTTCCTCTGGTTTTTGTACCTGCAACCTGTCCTGCCTTTGCCCCCTTACCAAAAACACCATTTAGCCATGCTGCTCCAGCAGTCGCATACCTGCTTGTTTTGACAGCTGACCCCCTATCATGCAATTTTCTCTCTGTTGCAAATATTGCTGCCATTGTTTAATCTGAGACATGAACCCCAAACAGATCATATAGAATTCACACCAACACTGCATAAAATTTCATTGACCCAAAAACACAAACACTTTATGTGCAGAATTCAAGAAACAAAGAAATGTAACGACCTGATTCCAACAGTGCCACCAGAAAAGATTACACACTTTGTTTTTATAGTAGTAAGCCTAACAACTCTAACTATATTTCTAACTGTATTGCTGACTTGTACCCTTAATATTTGAATGTAAGCTTGTGCTATAGAATTTGAATAAGTTAGAAAAACTAAAAGAGGATGTATGTTGCCACTCGGTACTATGGTTTGGTGGTATTCCTCTTTAAGTGAGAGGTTTGGAATCGAATCTCGTGGATAACAAATTTGATATCAAATTAGGTTGCTCATTGTGTGGCTTAGCCGAACTCTATCTCCCCTTAGTGCAAAATTTATCTTTGTACTAAAAAAAAAAAAAAAGAAGAGAGGATATGTGTTGCCTATAATGTGTAGAATTCTGCGGCATGAAATTGAAGAATTTGATGCCTAAAGATTCAGGGTAAGTACTTCATTGAAATGCAGAGTTTGTTTTATTGGGATGGATTGTAACTGAGTGAGATATTAGAGTTCCCAAGTTAATCATTGTGACAAAAGAATGTGTAACAAATTGCGCATATTTAACTGGCATTGTACTCTATTACTTGACTTCGTTTGTATGGATATGGTACAGAGGTGGGACTTCTTCCATGTGAATTTCTTGTTTTAGTTGCTTATACAGAAAATAAATGAACAAACAAACAAAAAGTTGCGAAGATTGCATTTGCTATCAGTGGTGTTTCAGTTCAAACTTAGATAATGGAAACGAGGAATGAGGTTGTAAAGTTAGTGAAACCTTAGGTATAAATGGATACTTGGATTGAATTAGCAATTTAGCATGCTTAGGTGCTTTCCTTTTACCATGTAACAATGATTGATAAACAATTGTCGGGAGATCTAGGTAACGGCAAGTAGGTGTTTGAATATAGAATGTCATTCTGGAAGACATTTCAAACTAATTGTTTTCTTCTTCTCTTGCATCAAATTATTGCCTTTATAGGACAATTACTGCAATGTATTGTAACATATGTATTCATTTCAATGGAAATAATAGTTATTGGATTTTTGTTGTCAAAGATAATGGTTCGTGGAAGAGATGCATGTTGGGAACACTGTGTCCTGGTTGATGCAACAAAGCAGAAGGTTAGGTGTAATTATTGTCAACGGGAGTTCAGTGGAGGCGTATACAGGATGAAGTTTCACTTAGCTCAAATTAAAAACAAAGATATAGTCCCCTGCACAGAAGTTCCGACTGATGTGCGAGATAACATTTTAAGCATAATAAGCACTCCCAAGAAACAGAAAACTCCCAAGAAACCAAGGGTTGATAAGGCACTTGCAGCCAATGGTCAACAGAATAGCTCCTCTGCTAGTGGTGGCTTCCATCCTAACGATGGGACTAGCGGACAGAACGGAAGCACATCCCCGTCTTTGTTGTTTCCCTGCCCTTCACCAGCGGCACACCTAGAAGTGGGTGATGCTCAAAAGCAAAAGAAGGATGTTGCTGATAAAAAAATTGCTGTTTTTTTCTTCCACAATTCTGTCCCTTTTAGTGCTGCTAAATCCATATATTATCAGGAAATGGTGGATGCTGTAGCAGAGTGTGGGGTGGACTACAAAGCCCCAAGCTACGAAAGCCTACGATCTTCTCTTCTGGAAAAAGTCAAAGGTGATATACATGATTGCTGCAAGAAATACAGAGATGAATGGAAAGAAACAGGGTGCACTATATTATGTGATAGCTGGTCTGATGGTAGGAACAAATCACTTGTAATATTCTCGGTTACATATCCGAAGGGAACTCTGTTTCTGAAGTCAGTTGATGTATCGGGTCATGAAGACGATGCTACTTACTTGTTTGAGCTAATTGAGTCTGTTGTCTTGGAGGTTGGTGTTGAGAATGTTGTGCAAGTTATAACGAATACTACTGCCAGTTATGTTTACGCAGGAAGACTTCTTATGGCCAAGTACAACTCATTGTTTTGGTCTCCTTGTGCGTCTTATTGTATTAATAAGATGCTGGAGGATATCGGTAAACAGGAGTGGGTGGCTACAGTTCTGGAAGAGGCAAAGACCATCGCTAGGTTCATATACAGTCATCCATGGACTTTGAGTACGATGAGAAAATTCACTGGTGGAATGGAATTGCTAAGGCCAAAAATTACTAGATTCGTGACTAATTTCCTCACCTTGAGGTCCATTGTGATTCAGGAGGACAATCTAAAGCACATGTTTTCCTTGTCTTCAGTATATAGTAGACACCCCGAGGCTCAAGCTATTAAGTCGTTGTTGTATTTAGAGAGATTTTGGAAGCATGCACGAGAAGCTGTGAGTATTTCTGAACCGCTACTTAAAATCCTTAGGGTTGTTGACGGGGATATGCCAGCTATGGGGTACATGTTTGAAGGAATAGAGAGGGCAAAAGTTGCAATAAGGACCCATTATAAGGGTATCGAAGAGAAATATATGCTGATCTGGGATATAATTGATCAGAGATGGAATATGCAGCTTCACTCGTCCTTGCATGCAGCGGCAGCCTCCCTTAACCCTTCGGTATTCTACAGTCCAAACTTTAAGATTGATTTAAGGATGAGAAATGGGTTTCAAGAAACTATGTTGAGGATGGCTACCACACATGACGATAGAATGGAAGTAACAAAAGAACATCCTATGTATGTTAATGCACAAGGTGCTTTTGGGACGGATTTTGCAATCATGGGAAGGACACTGAATTCCCCAGGTCTGTAAACTTGCAATTATTATCAAAGTACTAATAAAACAAAAAATATTTGAAGCATGTTCTGGTTATATAATTATGGTTGCCAACATAATGCAATTTGACTACTTATGGCCTACTTGATTACTATTTCGTTTTTTGTTATTTGTTTTTATTTCTGTGTTAAGTGAAACAGGTCTGACAGACCAATTTTGAGTACTGAACATTTACTTTCTCAGTTCCCCTTTAAGGGCTAGTTCGTGATGCTTCTAGAATGGCGTTAAGCTTCATCTAACAAAACAAAGTGCTTTTGATTACGTTTGGTATAAAGACTAAAAAAATTCTTTTGTTTTATAGAATCGCTTTATAGAGAAGCACTTTCCAAGTGCTTTTCAAAAAATCAACTTGTTTCTAAGAAAAGGACTTCTTGTAAAAGCATTTATAAGCACTAGTGTTTCCCATAACAGTCCCAAACGAGCTTTAAGACTGATTAATGGTCCTTTTCTTCTCCAATCATCTGTCTTAGGACAGGAGCTCTTCTTTGTTATTTTGGTCTATATTTGTTCAAAAACGTGGGGTATGTATCTAACATTTCGTCATACATTTACAGGAGATTGGTGGGCAGGTTATGGTTATGAAATTCCCACAATCCAGAGATGTGCGATACGGATACTGAGCCAACCATGTAGCTCCCATTGGTGCTGTTGGAACTGGACCACCTTCGAGAGCATGCACAGCAAGAAACGCAACCGACGAGAGCTGGAAATTTTCAATGATCTGGTTTTCGTACACTGCAACCTTTGGTTGCAGTCTATTTATCACCACAGAGATGAGAAATGCAAACCCATTGTGTTTGATGAAGTAGATGTAAGTTCTCAATGGCCTACTGAGTTGGATTCTTCTGCCCCACTTTTGGATGATTCATGGCTCGACAACTTACCCCTTGAATGTAGAGGTAGTCCCTAAAATTGTTGAGGGAGAAAAAGCGAAGTACTATATATATGTATATTCATATACGCATGTATATAATATGTGTTTTTGATTAGGTAATTTTGTATGATATTGTCAGTGATTTCCGCACACTTTATTTGTTTATGTCCATGGATTATCATTTATATAAGGTTTTAACAACAAATGGTCCATGAAATTGACTTATTCTATTAAGATGGTCTCTGAAATTAAAAATTAATCAATGTAGTCCTTGAAAATAAGTGTCGTCAATTAATGTGGTTCTTCCGTCAGGTGGATTAAAAAAATTAAATAATAAAAAAAAACAATTTTATCTTGTCTTTTTATAGTTAAAAACTTGAAAAAAAAAATTAAAATTGTCTTCTGACTCGTGCCGTGGCCGGCGAGGCTAAGACAATGTTTTTCTCGTGCGCGGCTTCAGAGTTGGGAGTTGTTTGTGGGAAGTGAGGGCGTCGAGAGTGCTGGACTTGTTCGAGAAGGCCAAGTTGAAAGCGCCGGGTATTGTGTTCATTGATGAGATAGATGAGGTGGGGAGGCAGAATCACCCTCCACCACGACGATCTTCCGACGGCCTCTACTCCTAGCAATCCAAATGGCATTCCGCCTAAGGATCTGGCGCCAGCAATCACCGGGTCACCGTGTTCATTCCTGATGATGAAGCCAGCCGCCGCGTTCGAAAAACCCAATTATGAGTCCAGAACAAAATGTTCCTCCTATTTCCCACGATCCATCTCATCCCTTCAATAATGGATCTTGCATTCAGAATTCCTTTTCAGGCTGCAGATTGATTTTGTCTAACCTTTGCCTCCATAAAGCATTCCCGCCTCAAATATTTCTGCTTAAGATTTGCTCTACCAGCTTTAGAGAGGGTATTGGCTTTCCCGCTAGTTTATTTTTTATTCTTAACATTATATCCTTTGTATTCCTAGGATCTTTCTAACATATGATGTTATTAATTCTTAAGTATTTCCCAATTGTAGTTTTGTGCTGGATTTGAATAATATTGACAATATCATTTCAGATCTGATTAGTAGTATTCTTCAAAAACATAGAGGGACGATTTATTAAAATTTATCTTCGTTGATGGCAGGGTTAAAATCCTGCGGGTTAGTCACTATGCCCAATATTGGTACTACATTCTCTATCTTAATAGCATGAAATCCATATACATATCTACTTTACGAAAATTATTTTCTGTAAATTTGTTTTTCATTATACAAAAATACAACGGCGTCCCAACCTCGCCGGTACCAGGTGGGCCCACTAAAACACGATTTTATTTTATTTTTTCTTTTTTAAGTTTTTAATTATGCCAGAGATAAAATCGTTTTTTTATTATTTAATTTTTTTTTATCTATATGAAAATATTTAATTTGACACACTCCGGAAAGTCCAGTAGGACTCCGAATCGAACTGTGCTGGCCGACACCTGGAAGGTGACGAAGCCATAAAGTGTAGTGATGAGGAAAAATGTGAATAAATTTTAAACCTAAAAGTGCCTAAATACAAGAGTGCGCTGGGAGTGGGAATGAACCCATTTCACATGTGATGTCAGAGCATAAGTAAAGTACATTAGAGTGGATTGAGGATCATTCCAATGAAGATAATCTCTAATACCAAGATTTGCCACGAATCCTCGTCGAAAAGAAAGCTCAACTAATAAAACTTGGAGGGATGAAAAACAAACTAGAGTGAGTGGGTCTGAAAACAAAGTTATAATAAAGATTTCTAAACGTTATAACTCATCGATGTAACACCTGTTTAGTTTCCAGAAAATAATACTACGTATAAGTATGAATTCTATACTAACAGTAAAACCAGAAGTATACCACGACACTGCATCTCATTAATAATATAAATAATCAAGTGCTTAATAATCCATACTAGCACGCAAGTCAGAGTCACCTGATGTGACCTGTATGACTGCACCCATATCTCATTAATCAACGTTAACACATAAGTCAGAGTCACCTATAGTGACCTGTACGACTCACCCATATCTCATCAATCAATGCTAGCACGTAAGTTGGAGTCACCTATAGTGACTTATACAACTCACCCATATCTCATCAATCAATGTAAGTCGAAGTCACCTATAGTGACCTGTATGACTCACCCATATATCATCAATCAATGCTAGCACGTAAGTCGAAGTCACCTATAGTGAAATGTACGACTCACCCATATCTCATCAATCAATTCCTGTACATGAATCGAAACCACCTAAAGTGGTTTGTACGACAGGCTGGGTGTAAAGAAATACACTCAAGTGCTACGATCATGTGAAGGTTGTGCGAAGTATCACAAGTCAAATACGAGTCGAAACCACCTAATGTGGCCTATACGACAGGCTGGTACCTACCTTGGATCCAAGGTAAACGTGTGATGCGGGAGGTGAACGATCACGTGAAGGCTAGGCCCTGTCCTCGGGCGGAGCACTAACACCGGGGTGCAAGACAATAAGCTCTAAATACCTCACAACACAATCATACCCACTACAGTCACTACCATCAACATGTACTCACCTGAAGCTTACCTGGCATCCGTAACGTCATTTGGCATAACCACTTTAACATCCCAACATTCTTAATCAGAACTATACCCAGTGATAGGCCAGAAAAAAAATCATGGTTAATCTCTACGCTGTTAATCATCATAACTTCTTACCTTAAAGAAATCAAGTACCATGTTAAATTCGGATTGTTTTATGGTTGCATCTAATTGTCTTGTTAGACTGCCTATGTACCCTCAAACGAGATCAAGCCATTCGTAGTTCAACTTAGTACTTTAAAGCATTTACAATAATTATATGTCGGTAATATGCATATAGATATACCATAATGCAATCTAAACCTCAACCATACCATAGTATTTTAACATATATATATATATATATATAACATGGCATAAAATGCATAGAACAATTGAAAAGCAATTGTGGAGTTATCATATATACAATAAAAAGAAAAAGACCCCCTCACCTGAAATCCGCGCTACAATTCTCTAACCCGAATATCAAGGCATCACAAACCATCGTCGCCTGGAACAATTATCAATTAACGTCTCAGAATTCTTATCGATATAACACATAACTTACATAAAACACATCCTCAATGACATTCTAGAATGATTTAAGACCCATTGACTAAAAATCAATCGTCGGTCAAAGATCGACGGTAGGGTCTCCAACCCTAGATAACTCGATCCGGAAGATCCGCATCACAGATTTCCGATCTGTAATTTCCAAAGATCCACATTATACTTCTAGAACAATATCTTAAAGTTTCAGAACGATCCAATGGTCAGATCTTTGCCAATTGCCAAAACCAAGTGGCGGTTAACGGTTTATTTTACGAACTTACAAATCCAATTTGGAAAGATCCGTCTGACGGATTCCCGATCCATAAGTTCCTATAATCCTCAATTATTATGAACAATAACCTATTAAAGTTTGATGACGATCCAATGATCAGATTGTCAATTCATATAATGACTTAATCACGTATTGTAGAAAATTTAAGTTCTAACGATCAACCTGCATCATACTATTGTCAGAACTGAATTTAAGGCATCTAATTTAGCCTAAGAATAACATTGATGACCCCCTGGCCACGCACCACTGCACGGGCCGCCGTGGGTGGCAGTCGACCGCCTCGACTCGCCGGAAAATCCAACTATTTTCAAAAATTCCCAAATTTTACAGAAATGAAGATCTCCAAGAGTAGAGCAAGTTTTATATCTGTGAACAAGTCCAATTTGGCCAAGAAAGGCTCCAATTTCACTCAACCCCGCCGAAAACCTTATAAATGGTGTGCTTCAATTCGACCTTCGTACGTGTTCCAACGCCTCCATCATTGCCTGGGTTATGTCCTGAACTTCATAGAAGCTATTTGATGGTGGAGATCGACGGGAAAGGTTGCAGAATACGACGAATTACCACCGGGTGTCCTTGAAGCCGTCGGTTTCGTTCCTCGCGAAATAGAGGTCAAACCCTCGAATTTTTAAGTAGAAATGAGAGAATGGAGGTTAGGATTTCATAAGCAGGTAAGGGTCAGGTAGAATTTTTCAGAAAAATAGATGAGGAACGCCGGATTTAGCTACCCAAAATCGGGTCTGCAGTAGGGTCGACAAGATGGGTTGTCAAGAACCCAATTTGCTGCCTCTCTTCTCCTCTCCTTTCCCTCATTTTCCTCCTCTCAGATTGGCCCTCCACTCTTCTCTCCTTCCTGATTCATTATGTTTCCCCCAATCCATAAGGCTTTCTCTCCCTCTCACTCTCTATCTCTCTCCATCTCTCTATATCTCCTTCGTTTTTCCTCATCCATGATTCTCTCTTCCCTCCAAATTTTCTATCAACAAAATTAAAATAAAAACAATATAATTATGAGAAATGTATAAAATATAAAATAATAAATAGTGTCCTTACCCACGGACTTTTCGGATTTGTAGTTTCCGTAAAACTTTAACTGTAACTCCAAATTCACTGTTGCTTGTTCTTACACGTCTATATCGTCGAGTACTTCATGAATACGCTAAAAGAATTTCGTATGTCTCGCTATACGTTGATCAATGAAAGCCAAAAAAAAACTTCACCTCTAGGGTATTTTTAGGGCTGGATCAGTATGGGATCCCGTCCCAAAAATGGTATCCCAAATCCCAAACCGATCCTTTTTGGGATGAAAATCCGAATCCCGATCCTAAACCGAAATTTCGGTATTCCTGAATTTCGGGATCCCGAAATATTTTCGGGATGTTGGTATGGTTTCGGTTTTCAATTCAAAAAACATTTGGCTTCTTGTTAATGGAAGAAGCTGATAATTAAATTCAATTCAATTCAAACCTGCAGATCGAGCATGCAAAGCAGAAAAGATTCAAACCTGCATATTGAGCATGCAAAGCAGAAAAGAAATCGAACATGCAAAGGAGAAATTGACCATGGAAATCCATAAATCCAAATCAACCAAATCCACATAAAATTAATCCAGAAATCCCCAGAAAATTAATCAAGAAATCCAAATCCAAATCAAAACAATCAAAAGCTCTAAATCGTAAATTCCTAATTTATAAATCCTCATTCGAACCCTAATTTAGAGAAAGCTTCAGAGAGGAAAGAGAAAGATATGGGTCGAGCTTCGAAGATTTGAGA